GTTGAACGTCTAAAAAATTACATTTTTTGTTGCAAAAAAGGGAAAATGCTAGTAAAAACACTTTCATGAAAATGTATTCCTTCAATCAGACATAAAATGTGTGAAAGTTTTGCATGATGACACTTCCGTAAGAGTTTCTGCATATGTGCTGAATGATGAAAATTTTAAGAATCTTATTGATTTATCAAGACAACCCATGTTGTATGAAGCCTTAACGTTTATTCATCCTTCAAACACACCTCTACATGCACCATTGAAGTGAGTAAGTCAGAAGTAGAGTCATGTTCATTTTAGAGTTTGGTGTAGCTCTAAAACTTGTTGGTCCCCTGAAAACCCCCGTTTAAAAAAAAATATATGTTTTTGAGGAGCTTGTTCAGGTGCCTTTTATAGCACGGTACGCTCCTTCTGAGCTCCTCTTACCTTCAATTACAACAGATGATAGCCCATAGGCTACAGCGTGCTTCCTGCTGCCGCGCATCCCTTGGGACCAACCTGCACATGCAGGGAGAGTCAAGTTTCCAAAAGCCTTCTCAGCGTTGAATGTGGGTATCAGCTGCTCTGACAGACATTATTCTGATCCCCCAGACTGTGTAGCCTATACCTGTCTGTCTGCTGCCTCAGCTTTTATTTCCCCCTCTCTTCTGCTCCTGCTTCTGTGGTTGGAATATTGTTTTAGTCCACACTCTGTCTGTGTTTAAAAGCCACATCTCCTTTTGCCACTCTCTGCTTCTAGCTGTCTGGTGCCAGCAGTCTGTTTTGACATCAGTTTACTGGTAATTAATTTGTAACTCAGGCAGAGGCGGATCTAGACTGCATAGGGCCTTGAGCAGAATTTGATTGGGGCGCCTTCCAACTACCATTAGGTGCCACAACTCAGTACTCCTAACTTTGAGGATGAAATGTGTATGTTCAAAGTAGAAAACGATTTTTATTTTTTAGTTCTTGGAAATCCTGTTTTTATCTAAGTGGAGGGTGGAAATGAACATAACACACACTCTTTCCTCTATTGTGCTATTTCCTGCTGAACAAACCTATATTTTAATATCTAGTATATAAAAATTTTATTTTATATATACTAGATATTAAAATATAGGTTTGTTCAGCAGGAAATAGCACAATAGAGGAAAGAGTGTGTGTTATGTTCATTTCCACCCTCCACTTAGATAAAAACAGGATTTCCAAGAACTAAAAAATAAAAATCGTTTTCTACTTTGAACATACACATTTCATCCTCAAAGTTAGGAGTACTGAGTTGTGGCACCTAATGGTAGTTGGAAGGCGCCCCAATCAAATTCTGCTCAAGGCCCTATGCAGTCTAGATCCGCCTCTGCCTGAGTTACAAATTAATTACCAGTAAACTGATGTCAAAACAGACTGCTGGCACCAGACAGCTAGAAGCAGAGAGTGGCAAAAGGAGATGTGGCTTTTAAACACAGACAGAGTGTGGACTAAAACAATATTCCAACCACAGAAGCAGGAGCAGAAGAGAGGGGGAAATAAAAGCTGAGGCAGCAGACAGACAGGTATAGGCTACACAGTCTGGGGGATCAGAATAATGTCTGTCAGAGCAGCTGATACCCACATTCAACGCTGAGAAGGCTTTTGGAAACTTGACTCTCCCTGCATGTGCAGGTTGGTCCCAAGGGATGCGCGGCAGCAGGAAGCACGCTGTAGCCTATGGGCTATCATCTGTTGTAATTGAAGGTAAGAGGAGCTCAGAAGGAGCGTACCGTGCTATAAAAGGCACCTGAACAAGCTCCTCAAAAACATATATTTTTTTTTAAACGGGGGTTTTCAGGGGACCAACAAGTTTTAGAGCTACACCAAACTCTAAAATGAACATGACTCTACTTCTGACTTACTCACTT